TTTTTAAAAAGGATTTTTGGCTCGTGTTTAAATGAATAACTTTTCTATCAACCAAACAATAATCTAATATATGTACGTGAAAATGACAAAGAGGTGTTAATTCAAGACTTGCCCTCAAGAAAGTCCTAATCCTGTGTAGTCTAGAGGTTCCTGGAGAGATGATTAGGGAGACTAAATAGGAAGCAGAGAGAACAGGGGCTTACACTTGGTTCACAGGAAGCAGAGGGTGCTGTGTGCCAGGCAGGAAACTCTATGGGAAAGAGCTGGGAAAAGAGACAACCATGAAAACCTAGGAGAGAAGAGGCAGGTGGATATTTCACTGTTAAGAGAAACACATGGCCTGAGCCTGCGGGTTCGAGACCCGCCTGGGCAACTTGATGAGCCCTCATCTCTACAGTAAATCAAAAAAATTAGCCGGGCATGGTACTGCACGCCTCTAGTTCCAGCTACTCGGGAGGCTGAGGTGGAAGGATTGCCGGATCCCAGCAGGTCGAGGCTGCGGTGGCTAGGAACGTGCCACTGCACTCCAGTGACAGAGTGAGACTCCAACTCAAAAAAAAAAAAAAAAAGAGAAATACATGGCATTCTCTAGATGGTAGTGGAAGGGCACCTGGAGACTTTGCTCATCTACACGCAGGCCATGAAGGCAACGATCAACCTCAGTCTGTGATTGTCACAGCAAGGTGGCCAGACAGCCACTCCTGCGTGGAGCTGCCACAAGGTGGTTTCTCCTCTGCCTCCCTAGTTCTGGAGAGGTATGTATGAACACAAGCTATAAAACTGCTTGGCTGTGGCTTATAGTCGGCTTATCCACGGCACAGTGACTCACCACTCACTTAGGTCTCCTGTCATCTGGCCCCTCTGCTTGGTATCTTCCTGTGGGATTAAAAGTATGGAACGTTGACACATGCCACTCTTACTTACGTAGCTGTATCACAAACTGTCTAAAGCCTGGTACATATAGGTCAGGCAGGAGTGATAAGAACTGGCCAACACACTGGCAGGTGAACTAACTTCTCCCAAGGGAAGTGGTTGGAAGAAGCAAATCAAAATCATTCAGAAATATCCAGACATGGTGATGCATGCCAGCTACTCAGGAGGCTGAGGTGGGAGTATCACTTGAGACCAGGAGTTCAAGACCAGCCTGAATGATAATAGCAAGATCCCATCTCAACAACAAAGCAATTTAGAAAAGAAAGTTGCAGTATCACAGGCTGGTGCACTGCTATTTGGAATCTTAAGGACATAAATCAGAAAGTGACTTGTCCTGAGGCAGAACAGACCTACAGTTGAATTAGAGAAACTGCTAACTACTGACTACAATGGAAAATTATTCTTTGTAATTCAAATTGTGCTCAGTAGCTTTATTTATCTCTGTACACCACTTCCCCTAAATATACACAAAAACATGCTGGGCTGAGGAAAAACTATGACTGCTATACCATAATTAATGAGCAAACATTTAACAGGGTCATTTGTGAAGTTTCAGGGCACTGCTATATGTACTTCTGTATCTGCTACTAGAAACACATGTAAACAAGATAGGGATTATTTTATAACATGGACAAATACCTTATATGAGAGCATAAAATAGTAGCCTGTGTAATTAGACCCTTCTGGGGAAACTGGGTCTTCAGAAAGGAGAGGCTTCACACATATCGATCTTTGGGGAAGTTTTTCTCATATTTTGTATATGAATTTTTAGTATGTTTGCTGATCATGTATATTTAACTTCATGTTTAATACATTACTGAAAATTTAGCATGATTCTATATAGTTATATTCTATTATATGTCATATGATACTCTATTATATACATAATACTTGGCATTAGAGAAGGAATTCTAAGTTAAAATAACATTTTCTTGTAATAAAGTTTTTGGTACTGAGAAGTGCTTCTAGGTTCAAGGTCAGGCAGAAATTCTCTGTCATAGGTTATCAGATGTCTCTGCTTTAGTACAGTCCGTGTCGTGTAACCACGGCGTGAGCTCTGATATCAAAGCGATGGGGCAAAGCCAGCTCCCTCTTGGCTAACTCTGCAGAAGGCCCTTGACCTGCTGTTTCTCGGTCTCCTTGTGGGCTATGAGCAGTAAATGAGGTAAATCACACAGTGCTCAGCATGCAGGCAGCAAGCAGCATGATATAATTATTGCATCACACTTATTAACATGCTGACACAAGCAAGTGGAGTGTTAACCAGTGTAAGTAAAACTGTATTTTGCTTATCTTGTTTCTTGCTCGTTCCTATATCTTTTTCTATGTTTACTTTCTTTTGGAAAAAAAAAAAGAATAGTGACTATTGGGTGGTGATGATCAGAAAAAATAATGCTCTTCAGAGAATTGTAGTGGTTCCCAACAATGAAATACCATATGTGGGTTCTCGTGACTTTGCAGGAATTGTTTTAAAATATGTTCCAATTGCCAAAATTTCTGTGACTTATGACAGTTTGAATACTTAATATTTTGTTTCAAAAAGCAACTGCAAGTCTCTCTTTTTAAAAAAATGCCATTGTATTATTATCCCACTCATAACACTGGAGACTTACTTTAAGAGATATGACTTTTTAATATTTGAATTTTTAAAAGAGACATCTGGCCCTTATTTAACTATCACATTTACATCCAATTCCTGCAGGCACAGTTTTGTTGTTGTAGCTTGGCTTGATGCCCTCTGCAGAAAGCCCGTGCTCTCATATGACAACACAACTCCACTAAATCTGCTAGAGTTCCCTGCTCCCTCCTCACCCCCCCCGACTATACAACAGCACAAAAACTTTCATCTTGAGTTCACCTTAAGAAGATAAGAATAAGGAAAAAAAAAGCTAGAGAATGAGCTTTATATGGGGGGACTGCTAAGGCATATTCAACTTGATGCCCTTAGATTATTTGCAGAAGTGTTTATGTACTATGAAATGTTCAGCCAGAGCACACAGGAAACTGTAAAATATTTTATGAGATGTATACATGGTTGATGGTAGAATTTTAAATGCAACCTGGGAAGGTTCTATCCAAATTCCAGGAGGGCAGATGAGAGAATACATTCTCTGCAGTGATTCAGTTTTATACAAGGGGTTATATGAACGGGAAAGCAATTCCTGATTTGGGAATTATATTTAAAAATTTGTAAAATTAAACTTTATAGTTTCTAGACAAGTAAACTTGTTTTCTTTCAAATCAAGAATCACTAGTTATGCTTATTTGTCTTCTACATGGTAAAAGCACTAAACATGGGTGTTTACTATTTTATAAAAATAAAGAACAAACAGCAATAAGTGAAAACTCTTCCCCAGATATAGGAATTATATACACCATTAAAAATATTTATGCTTCTGATGGTTTTCAAATAAATACTCTTGGTTCTAAAACTGGAACATTATTTTTGAATCACAACTATTACAATATGAGAGGCAAGAAGGCTAACATACCCTCAAAATGGCAAGTTCAGAAAGTTACACTTTCAAAATTAGGTGAAGGGAGAAATATTTCTATTTTCTTTACCCTTAAATCTAGAGGGAAGTATCAATTTCCCACGACAGGGTACCTATTTATTGGTTTAGTTCCCAATCCAATCTATAAAACACAAGGGACAAAAAATAGAAACTAGCCTTGTGTATTTCCATTTGATTTGGAGCTGGGCCTGATGTGTAAGGGATTGTTTAATTAATACCACAGTTCCTTTGAAAAATATTTCAATGTATAACACTCATGCTTTAGGATGTAGCTATAATTAGCATCTCTTTTATAAATTTATATTACTGTCTAGAAAAATATGCCATAAAATCCCAATGTTCTTGGTAATATTCTTTTATTTATTTATTTGTGAGAAAGCAGGATTCATTGAGAGGACAGAAAAGCTCTTGTCCATCTTGGTAATATTTTAAGGTGTGCCAGTATGGTGGAGAACACTGTATGTAATACCAGACAGAAAATTATGGACCATAAATTCTCATCTCTCATCTGTCATTGCCATTACTGAGTGATTTTGGGACAGTCATTTTCCCTCTCTGGACCATGCTTTTTTCATCTGTAAACTGAGTAGTTGTTTTCAATGATCTCTAAGACTACCTTCTGCTCTAACATTATTCTATATAACATTTTATCTTAAGAGAATAATTTACTGAAGTCACATCTTCTGAAACTTTCATTCTGTAAATTTTCCATTTTTTCTATATCCACTGTTTAAGGAAATTTTATTTCACTTCAAATTTAGCATTGTGCAGGTCAGAGAAAGAACCTAAGTGTGGAAAAGAAAATAAAGAATTAAAAATATTAATATTGAGTAATTATGGGGACATCTACACTGGTTTAGGACAGACATAAATGACCTTGTTTTATTCCAAATTCAGCTCTGGCTTATGATGAAAAGTGAAAGGTTATTATATGAACTTTCTGGGCAAAACCAGATTTTATAAATAATTACCTGTCAGACTGTTCAAGATAGACAAACATACACCAGACCAACAAAAACACAGACCTGTCATATTTCTGAGAGAAATGTACGTTGAGTCTTCCTACTCTGGGACCATAAGATCAGGTAGAATAAAATGAAGGAAAAAAAATTAAACCCTATATTTTCTTTCTTGTGCATACTTTAAAATGTATATTGTGGAAGAGAAGGAATTTTGATGTAAAAAATTAGCCCCTGAAAATTTTACACCATCTATAAGCCTGGCAGATCGAAACCAAAACAATAAATGCTGCCATTTTAAAAGTTAGGATGTTTACTGCAAGCTTATAATTTTCCATGATTAGGGACGCCAAGGAAAATAAGAATGATGATAAAAAGAAAAGTTTAATCATACATTTCAACAAGCACAGTTGTAACATCAAAACCCTTTGGCAATATTGTAATATTATATATTTGTGTTTTTGTTCTTGACATGCACATTATTTTCCAAAAGGAGTAACAAAGAACAGGTAAATGACAGTTAACAAATATGAATAATTGTGGCATAAAATATTAACTGAGATTCACAATGATTTGACCACAAGAAAAAAAATCTTTCACATTTCTCATTTTATTATTTTTCACAAAGCCTGTTTCAAGCGTGTGAAAAAATTATGATAAAAGTAAAATTATACAAAACTCCCACAGAATTAAAGAAATAACTTCCTTTTTTGCAATTCTGTTTAATCAGGAACTGTACAATTATATCTGCCATGTTTTGGTTTGTTCCCAAGAGTTACAGTTCCTCATTTACTGGAGAAAGTATAGATTCCAGAAGAGTAGCTCAGCTGCTACCAGCAAGAAACTGCCAGCACACACTTCCAATCCAGTTGTGGAAATGCTGCTCCCCTTTAGTGACTGTGATTCCTTGGCTTCTCAATGGGCATGTGGCGGGGAGATGGGCCTGAGGACTGCAGAAACGAGAAAAGGAGGGAAATGACTCTGGGGGAAAAGCTTCTGTGTGAGGAAAAGTGCATGTGAAAGGCAGATGGCAGGAAGCTAGGAAGAAGGCACCTTGGAAGGGCACATGGTGATGGGTGAGGGGAGGGGCAGATGGGGACAGGCATGTCGTCATGTCAGTCAGAGCTTTGATCACGTAAGTTTATAAAATGAATAGATGTCTCTCAAATACATGTAGATATAATCAACAGATGTTGGAAAGTACAGTCAGTGGTATTAATAGAAGGGGAAGACAGTCTGTCCTTTTAATTTTGTTTCCTTTGTCACAATCTTGGATTCTAAAATATATCAAAACACAGACTAAACACTGGTGGGGCAGAGGGAACCACTGCTTTTAAGATATGTGAGTTGAGGCCTGTAAATCTATTCCAAATTAAAATCTCAAAACTGTGATCTGCATTCTTGTCCACCTACACACTATCCCAAACATCCTGCCATTAATTAGCTAAATGGCTCATCTAGTAAACAAGACTAATGACTGAGGGGTTGGGAAACAGCAGAGTCAGCCAGCTGAGAGTCACAAGTCAGCCCACTCCCTAGCCTACAGAGAGGGTACACTTGCATTTCGTTTTGTTCAAGGAGGGTAAAAGAAATCATCTTAATATAACATTGTGTTTCCTGTTGTTGCAGGCACCGTCATACTCACATCAGCAGGCTAGAAAAGCCATCCCATTCCTGCGGTAGGCACTCTGTCAAAGAAAAAGAAATCTGCAATGAATTATCACATCAAGTCAAACAAGAAAAGGAGGCAAAAAGCAAGCAAAACTTTCTTCCTGTTTTGTAGACTCTTTTGGCTACAATCTAATAGAATGCTTAATCTTAACTTTTCTGGTGGCAAAGCTATAGCAACCATTCTGTCTATTAAAAAGTCAGTGTGGTTAACAAGTGGTTAGTTATTCTATTTTTGGGAAGCGGAAGAGATGCAAAATAAGACATCCCATTTTGTTAATTGATTGGGCTTGGTTGGGTCAAAGAGATGTTATATCGAATCTGTCTTTTATAAACATGTGTTCTCTATTCGACATGCTCAAGAATTACTTCTAAGTATCTTAATAGTCTATAAATTACTGAGTCGTTATAGCCTTCCCAGGCCTAATTTATAGTCTGAATGAAAAGCTATGGGAGCCGACACTAACAAAGATTTTTCCTCCTTTCTAAAATTTGATGATTTCAAAGGAGTTCTGTACATTACAGATAGTATTAAAAATACAAATCTCATATAATTGTATATACATATGTGTGCATACAAATGTACATACTTCCATAAAAGAAAATAGAAAAATGGATTCTAATTGTAATAATATAATACATTCTAGTAAAGAAAGCAAAATTGTATGCTTTTCATTCCAAGTGATATATTTTGTATTTCAGGGTTGGAAGACCTGAACCACACAGGGCTGCTGTAACTTGTTTTGAATCTATTTTGAGACTTGGAGTTGAGCAGAATTAAAATTCAGGACTCAGGAATAAAATTCCCCTTTCACTGGCACATTTTTCATTATTTAAACTAGTAACAGTCACATATAGAGAATTCATAACACTCAATTAGATGAAATTTTTCTGCATTTTGTTTTCAGAAAAACAAATAAAATGATAAAAATCTCATATGAAAGATTTCTTTTCCCCTTAAGGTAATAACTCTGAAGCAGTTCTGGAGTCAGTATACTTTCAGCCCGATAAGTTAACCGTGGACAGCCATATTATAGGAAATAGAGAGTAACTATTTATGATCAAGATAATGCTATGGAGGCAGTGAAGAGTCTTAATTGGAAAAAAAAAAATTGAACAACATTACAATTATACTAGAAATGGAAAGTAGACCCAACCTTTTTAGAAAGACTTCCATCAACGTGAGGTGAAGCAAATATGGTTTTGTTGATAAACTTCTGTTAATCATAAAATTCAATTTGCTTGAAAACCTTCTCTCCAAATATATTGCTTACAGAGGATTTACTATGGTTGTCAGGTTTTGGAGCCCTGGCTGAAATTTCATCTGTTGCTTATGCCGCTATGCAGTTCACTCCGGATCAGTGTATCAGGAATGAGAAAACAGTGGCGCATTCCAGCTTTCACTCCTCAGCGTTCTCTCTCTGAGCTCGTTCTTTACCATGGGACTTTTTGTGTTGTAGAACACTTCTGGATTGAAATAAACATTCTAGCAAGGACTAGAAAATTCCAACTGCCTCCTAAGATCCTGCACTGGAGAACAGTGTTAAATGAGTTCCTCAGAGAACCTCAAATAACTTGCAGGGTGTCTCCCGCAACCACAGGCAGGAGAGCCGCGGGCAGGGAAGCAGCCCCTACCACCCGTGGCTGTCTTGGAGAGGCTCATGCCAAAGTAATACGCTTGGCTTCTTGACCATGATATTTTAAATTTTACAACCATAATGACAAGCTTTAACAAGACAAAAAATTTAAAACACAGGGATGGTTTCACATGGAGATAAAGGTACCTAGGTGTAAAGTTGCATTCCTCCCAAAGGTGAGTGGCTTAAGTGAGACTAGCTTGAGAAAGAAGACTGGGAAGACTGAATCTTGGCTGAGTGCACCAAGAAGTACCCAGGTTTTAACCTTTTCAGGGCTAGCAACTTGAAATAGTTCTCATTAGTATTGAAAAGATCACTTTTCAAAGATCAACTCACCTTCGCAGGTGATTAATTACCATGCTTGGCAAACAATTAAAAGATTACAGGTTTATTTAATAACATAGATCCTCAAGTACCCAAGTCTAATGAGACAACCAAAGTTTATAGCTGACACAGATTTTACAGAAGTAATGAATTCTTCCTGTTCTAATTCTAAAATAAAGAAGGAACAAACAAACTTGTGTAATTAGTGAAGAGCAATTTCAGCCAACTAGTCCCCTAGGGTCCTCCAGCCTGAGTCACTGCTTTTTCCTTTTGATGTGCAAAGGATGTATGCTGTCTATGTAAGGCAATTATGGGAACATCCCAAATTTGGCATCCTGTCCAGAGTAAGCAACTTTACAGGAAGATGGATGAAGACAACTCTTTTTGTGTCAACTGTGAATTTCTCTCTATTTGTGTTGCAAACGTTGAAGTTAAATTTAAACATCTCTTGGTGTGAGGGCCTTCCAGAGGCCACATTCTCATGAAATACTTTGCATCCCACTGATTTTCTTCTGTCAGATCCTGTGAAGGATTCCCAGTTCCATATCCTTACAAACACTCCTAGTTAGTAAAATTCAGACTTTGACCAGAAACAGTTAGGACCTCCACCTACTATTGAATTGTAAATTAATAAATAACACAATTAGATCTCTTCAACAAACTGGCTCCTACAAACCTATATACTATACACTTAAGCTTTATTTCTGATTTAATAAGAGCTCTGTTCTCAACTATTAGTTGCTCCTTTATGAATGTGTTGAAAAGTTCAGACATTTTAACATCTCTCAAAGTTAGCGGTAAACATGATGTTTAATTTTTGTTGTTGTTTGTTTTTGAGTCAGAGTCTTACTCTGTCGTCCAGGCTAGAGTGCAGTGGCATGCTCATGGCCACCGCAGCCTTGACTTGCTAGGCTCAGGTGATCCTTCCACCTCAGCCTTCCAAGAACTACAGGCGTGTGCCACCATACCTGGCTAATTTTTCTTTTTTTTTTTTAGTTGTAGAGACAAGGGCTCATCAAGTTGTCCAGGCTGGTCTCAAATCCCTGGGCTCAGGCAATCCTCTTGTCTCTGCATCCCAAAATGCTACGATTAAGGCAAGAGCCACACTCCTAGCCGATACTTAATGTTTTTAAGGACTAACCTTAATTCCTAGTTTTCTGTTTTTTGAATTGAGGACCTAATTTTTGACATTCATTTATTCATTCAGCTCCAAATTATGACCTGTACCAATGTGTCAATGAATGTGTAACCAATGTGGATAAGCACATACAGATTCTACCTACTGCACTGGGCATTGGTGGGGAAGTTAATTTGTAAGTTTACACATTAAAAAATGACTCCCCCCTTATCTATATATGGACAAGCTAGAGAAAACATATGATTTACTTCCTTTTTAAAAAATGGGTCATTCTTAGTTATATCTTAAGGAACATAAACTAACATTAAAAAGCAAAAGATTGCCTTGCTCTGTGGCTCACATCCATAATCCCAGCATGTTGGGAGGCTGAGGTAGGAGGATGGCTTGAGGCCAGGAGTTTGAGACCTGCCTGGGCAACATAGCAAGACCTCATCCCTACACAAAATTAAATTAGCTGGGCATGGTAGCAGGTACCTGCAGTCCTAGCTACTTGGGAGGCTGAGGTGGGAGTATCACTTAAGCCCAGGAATTCAAGGTTGCACTGAGCTTTGATCGAACCATTGCACTAGACTGGGTAACAGAGTAAGACTCTCTGTTAAAAAAAAAAAAAAAAGAAAGAAAGAAAAAGAAAAGAAAAATATCTTAAGCAGAAGATAAATATGATACAAACTTATTCTATAGCTCCAGGTTAAATGTTAGTGGTGTGCATTATGTGTACTATTAGCATAATTAATAAAGCTTTTAACTATGGATAAAAACCATTCTTCCCTCCAGTTCAGATATACATTTTATTCTTACTACCTTCCCTGATTCTTTCCTGTTTTCTCAAACCTTAAATAAAATAGCATAAAAATTCCATCACTGAGCTCACACTAACTGGACAGAGGAAAAAAATTCATTGTAGTAGGTCTCAAATTCCCTTACAAATACTTTATTTCTTAAAAGTCCAAGAAAGAGGATTTTGGGGTCTAGTGCTGAAAATCCTATACATTTGCTTAATCTGATTTTAGCCAAGCTATATCAAGTTCTTACTCTGTATAAATCATGGTGTGCTTGGTGGTCCAAAGGACACAAAGGTAAGTAAGGCAAGTCCTGTCTTCACTAAGTTTTCAAGTTAACGCCAATGTTTTAACCACCACCAGTAAAATGCAGTGAGAAGTCATTCTTGATGTATGGAAGATAGAAGAACAAAGCAGAGGTTTTTCTTTTAATCATAATATTTAATTTCAATCAATATTTTAGACAGGCATGAGATCTGTATATTTCTCAAGGTAGGGAGGAGCAAAGAAAAAAAATGCTGAGACACATGGTTTTATGGTTTATGAAATATTTTCATGCCTGTATCTAATTAGAGCCTTATCACACTAGTAAAAAAGGTCTCATAGTCTCTTTTTTAAAGTGACAGAACTATCTCTCCTGGTTAATGTCAAAGCAAAATAAATAAATAAATAAATAAATAAAAAGTTACATGACTAGTGAGTGGTAGATTTAGGGTTTAAAACCCAGAGCCTGTATTCTTTTCATTATACTACGCTGTCTTTTACATTAAACCAAACAACTGCTCAATCCGCACCCCCTCAACTGGCATAATTTATTCCATCTATAGACACATATTCTAGTCCTAACAAATTCAATTATTGATGGACATCCCTTAAAGGGCAAATTAAAACTGTACTTCAAATTTAAACTAGATTGGCCTGGTATAATACTTAAGAGTGCAGAGATACGCCGGGCTTGGTGGCTCAGCCTGTAATCCCGTGCCTTTGGGAGGCTGAGGTGAGTGGATTGCCTGAGCCCACAGGTTCGAGACCCACCTGGGCAGGGAGACCTCATCTCTACCAAAAAAAAAAAAAAAAAAAAAAATTAGCCAGGCGTGGTAATGTGCGCCTGTAGTTCCAGCTACTTGGAAGGCTGAGGGGGA